GGGAGAGAGAGAGAGTGTGACAACGAGAGCGAGCGAGAGAGAGAGAGAGAGAGAGAGAGAGAGAGAGAGAGAGAGAGAGAGAGAGAGAGAGATACAGAGAGAAAAAAAGAGAGAAAGAGAGAAGGAGGCAGGCACTCACGTCGACCATGAAGATGGAGAAGGCGAGATACTCGAGAATCTCTGCGCGGCTCGCAACGTCGTCATCCTGTATGCGCTTCATGGCTTCCTCCATCCACATCACTGTGTGGTAGTGGTCGCCGGAGTTATATGCGATCTTACCTATCTCAAAACACTCGTCACCTGTAAGCAGAACACCGGCGTTAACGATCGAGAGTTACAGGTGCGGGAGTTACAGGTGTTGATTACAGGTGTGAGGGCTATAGGTGTGGCATTAAAGGTGTGGTGGTACATGTGTGGGGTCAAAAGGTGTGGGGGTACAGGTGCGTGGGGTTAAAGGTGTGGGGGGTTAAAAGTGTGGGAGTACAGGTGCGTGGGGTTAAATGTGTGGGGGGTTAAAAGTGTGGGAGTACAGGTGCGTGGGGTTAAAGATGCATGGGGGTACATGTATGGGTGTTACAGGAGTAAGGCTTACAGATTGAATCATCACTAATGATGCGTCACACTCCGACTCATGCCAGCAATGACCTCTATTCTCCGCGGGACTCACCGAGCAGCTCTGGGAACGACGTCGTGCCGGGGAAAGCGCGGCGCCCTCTATTCTCCGCGGGACTCACCGAGCAGCTCTGGGCACGACATCGTGCCGGGGCAAGCGCGGCGCCCTCTATTCTCCGCGCGACTCACCGAGCAGCTCTGGGAACGACGTCGTGCCGGGCACGCGCCCCATTGCGAGATCGGCCGTGTTGAGGCGGTATGTGTCCTGCAGCCGGAACAGCGCCGTAGCCGCTCCCTTCAGGTCCTCCTTCGTCGGGAAGTTTTCCGTGTACGCCGTCAGGTTTTGTGCGAGAGCTGTCGAGGGGGAAAGGAAGCATGAAACAAGCCAGCACTCCAACTACAAGCATGAAGTTACTGGGGGGAGAGGGAGGAACGAAGTGCAACGCTACAAAGTTAGAACCAAGACTACGTAGATGATGTTATTCAGGGGAAACACAGCCTGTGCCATGCTACGAGTAGTTGACTTTACGCAGGGTAAACGTAGCGAGCTATGAAGACGTATAACCACGACTACAAAAATGCTACCAGTAGAAACAATGATCAGAGTTATGAACTTATTTAATTAATTAATCAATTTTTGTAATTTTTTTTATTCATTCCCGGCTAGTGATGTCTTGATGATCGATTATAATCAAAATTCAGTCGTTTGCAGCAACCGACTAAACGCTCGATTATGAAAATAAATAATCTTTTTTTTAATTTAAAATAAAATTTGCAAACATTGATGAAATGACTCTTTATTTTATTTTTGTACGTTTTTTTGGTTACTTTACACCTTGTAGACAGTAAATATAACGTACACCAAGCATAAGCATAATACTGTAACATAGCTTTTAGAATGTTGTATTATAAAAAATACTGAATTATATGATCTATGATATTTCAATATCTGGTAGCCGCGATCAATAACATTCAACCGATTATCTTCGATCATCGATCAGTTGGGTGCAACCGATGATGGATGATGAAATTCCAACCGATTCCCATCACTATTCATGGCTCCTCGCCCCACGGGCCGACTCACCGTCGGCCTGGCCAGAGTGCAGCAGGACTTCGATGCTCTCCCAGTCGGCGGTCAGTCGCTTGACCAGCAGAAATGAGTTGACCGGGTTCGCAAGGAACTCAGCCGGCTTCTGAGCCGCCTCACGGTTCTTCATCGCAAACGCAGCGGTGAGGCTGCGACAAGAGTAATTAACGAGCCGCGTCTTTAGCAATATTGATGGCGAGGACGAAGGTGTCGATAAGGAGTTATGCAGTTTAGTAAACAGATATTACACTAGCGCTCTCCACAGATGTAATCGAGATGATGGAATGATTAATGCTGAGTCACGTCGTTAATAAAGGCTGCTAGCACACACAACATAGTTATTAATAGCGCTGTGATAGTTATTTTGATAATAATAATAACAAGTGCCGCGGAGCGACAGCGCTCATCTAACGTCAACTGCGGTGACTCTGTGGTGGAGTGGTGGGATTCTAGTAAACCCTGTTGGACCCAGATGTGTTCACACACGCGCCGAAACAGTGGAAGGCATGAAGGTATCAGGAACCTTCTCAAAGGAATGTTCGTTGGGATCGTTATGAAAGTTGCCACGAGATGGCGCGTACGTTTAAGTGTCTTCAGATTAAAGATGGAAGCTCCTATCGTACGTAGTAGCAACAACTATTTGCAAGACAGAATAGATAAGCACTCATCCATTTACCTACGCAAGCCTACAGGCTGCAATAGAGAGCTGCCACCTGTAACCAATTAACACAGGCAAAAACTACACAGTACCACCAACACATGCACTGGCAGTAGCCACTGGCAGTGGCATACGTTACATGTAACATACTGACAGTACAGAATGCCATAGAAATTATACGATTTAAGGAGCATAAACCTTCTTTAACCAAATTTAGCTTTTGAAATTTCACTGTGACATTGTAGCCTCATACATCCAGGCATGTATAGATTCTACTAGCAAACCCGGCAGTCAAATTCTTTCTAACAGACAGTCAACAAATCCATGTTTAACCCTCCTCTTGAGGATCAAAAGGTTATCTGACACTTACTCTTCGCATGTCAGCAGAAAGTAGATTTCATGGTCCTTTCAATAATGCCATAAAAATGCTAGGTCACCGCTGAAACAAAAAAGTTTTTCAATCGCTCCGTCAGACCATGTCCTCAGAAAATGTCTAAAATCTGCCCTGTGCCCATTGACCTTTGACCTGTGACCTCCAATTTCGGCACAGTGATGGCTTTTCCTACCATGATGCTATACACCAACTATCACGAGCCTAGGTCGAGCCGTTTAGATTTGTGCCGCAATTCTGCATTTCCTCCCTATACCTTAAGTTAAGGAGTGAATGTTCCCCCTTCTTTTACACCTCTTGACCTTTGACCTTTGACCCCCAGCTTCGACATCCCAACTCGTTTTGACGATCCCCCCCAATGTGCCAAATATCGTGACCGTACGTGGAGCGGTTAAGATTTGTGCCCAACTGTTGACAGACGGACGGACCGACGAAGGACGGACGGACGGACGGACAATCATGCGATTCTACAAGCTGCATCTGACTATGTCAGATGAGCTAATAATAATAACAACAACAACAACGACAACAACAACATGAAGGCTGTAGATAGTAAACAGCCAGCTGGCTAGTAATGGTTAATAGTGGTTAATGGTTAATGCTGAATGGTTAATGGTTAACCATTAATGGTTAATGGTTAATGGTTAATATGGTTAATGGTTAACTAGCCACCACACACCAAACATGTAATAGCAATGCTACCTCATGTCATGATTCAATTCGATTTTGATACACGACTAACAAACAAACTCTCGCAAGCAAATTTTATCGCCGCGCAGACAAGATAGACACGAGCTCAACTACAAGAACTTTCTCAGGACGACACACAACAATAGCTCACTTTCCCTAGATCATTATCGATTGAAATGCCAATTCAAATTCCACAACTCTCTAGTTCACCAGGACCCCGGTTCAGCCGCTAGGTGAATGAACAATAGACGTGCGTGACAATTTGGCGAAAACAGCGAACCATATCGCGCTGACCAGCAGCGCCACCTGGGGTACACAGCAGGGCGTGTAGACCGGCACTACATTCGCTCGATAACGCAACACGAAATTTGGATTCCACGTTTCTTTTCGACATATCACCTCGCGTATGTTTTCCGCAAAGCCAGATCAATGCTATCCTCCCAGCTATTTTGTCCATGCCAACGAAGAATCGCTTTAGATCCCTAGCGACGAAAACCAGAGAACAGCGAAGCACTTGTGTCGAAGCAACTCAACGCTAATACCGGCAATCGCCACGCAGTGCTGCGATATTAATGCTTATGAGATGCTTAATTCGATAACTGACAGCGTAACATAGAGCCGTAACACTTTTTAAGTGGCGCAAACCAGTTTCTCTGATAAATGAGAAGATAAGACAAACCAGCGGCAGGGTTCAATACTCTCATTTTAAATTCTCCTATGTGAATAACATACAGTGGGATAGATTCCTAGCACCCGTGCAGTCACCGCTGGGAAGTGCATTGTAGCATGTCACGCAGCTACAGTAAAGCCTGACACTAGCCTATTTCAATTTCGCAGCTTTGATTATACGCGAAAATACTTCCCCTTAATAGCAAAACTCTCCCCCAAATAGCGAAACTCTCCCCAAATAGCAAAACTCTTCCCCACATAGCAAAAACTCCCCCTTATAGCAAAACTTTGCCCCACATAGCAAAAACTCCCCCTTATAGCAAAACTTTCCCTCACATAGCAAAGCTCCCCCCCAAATAGCAAAACTCTCCCCAAATAGCAAAATTCCCCTCTATATAAAAACTCCCCCACATAGCAAAACTCTCATCCACACAGCAAATCTCTCCCCCACATACCAAAAGTATGTGCCCCCCCACCACCTGCCCACTCGCCCTCCAGCCTGTGCATCTCTCGCCATCCTCTCGCCCGCCCACCTGCCCTTCTTACCTCTTTAGCTGCGAGAGCCGCAGCTCCTCCTGGCGGATGTAATCGGAGAGGACGTCGACGACGGCTTTCTCCGCCGCCACCAGGTGCTCCATGTCGGCCATCGCCGTGAACAGCTCAGCGGTGGCGCCCCCTAGCAGACACATCAGTAGGCACATCACAACTGGCGCAGCCATCCTAACGTGGTCAGTCACGGTTATTCTGCCCGAAAAAGAGAATATATATATATTATATATACACACACGCACGCACACGCACACGCACACGCACACGCACACACACTGCACACGCGCGGCGTACACACAGCTGACAACTCTATAGAACCTATACATGAAGGACACTTTTGGCATCCTAACACAGAAGCATGCTACTCACATTTCCCTCATCCTCCTCCTCACCTTCCTCTCTAAAGCCAAACACAGAAGCATGCTACTCATATCTCCCTCCTCCTCCTCCTCACCTTCCTCTCTAAAGCCAAACACAGAAGCATGCTACTCATATCTCCCTCCTCCTCCTCCTCACTCTCCTCTCTGAAGCCAGAGAGTAGCATGTCACTCACATTTCCCTCATCCTCTTTCTCAGCCTTCACTCTGATACCAAACACAATAGCATGCCGCACACATTTCCCTCATCCTCCTCCTGACCTTCCTCTCTGAAGCCAATCACTAGCAGTATAAAGCCACTCACACCCCCCTCATCCTCCTTCTTACCCTCCTTTCTGAATCCATACATAGTAACATGCCACTCACATTTCCCTCATCCTCTTCAGCCTCCTCTCTGAATTACAACACAGTTGCATGCGCTACTCACATCTCCCTCATCCTCCTCATCCTCCTTTCTGAATCCTAACACAGTAGCATACCACTCACATTTCCCTCATCCTCTTCAGCCTCCTCTCTGAATTACAACACAGTTGCATGCCACTCACATCTCCCTCTTCGTCCTCCTCCTCACTCTCCTCTCTGAAGCCAATCACAGCTGCATACCGTTCACATCTCTCTCATCCTCCACACATAAATCCTCCCCGTTGAAGCACTAACTAGTTTCACTAAATCACACGTCCTAACGATACCGCCCCGACAACCGGCGTAACATACGCGTGTTCGTGTGTAGAATCGGCTCTCTTCTCTCACTAGTAGCTAGTTACGAGTTCATTACACCGCGGTGCCACAGCTTTAGAGAATTTTGTGCGCGGGCGGGAACGAGAGAGAGAGAGAGAGAAAGAGAGAGACGCCACGTGTTCAAACATTGGCACACCGCGACGCATGCGCGAGCAGCATCTGTGGCTGCGAGGCTGTGGCTTACGCACGTACGCACCACGATTCCCAGACGAACACCACCTCCACCTGCGCCTCCGCCTGCTAGATACGATAGCACAACCTATAGTCTTGAACAAGACTCTCTACTGCACGCTGTTCGGCAGCCATAGCTGATATTATACTGGGTTATATTATCGTATCTTTACACCCCATTGGATCTCTGTTCCTTGATGTGTGAACAACTAACATGCAATTACACCATAACCTCTGCTGCTCCCGCGCATCATTTTATTACCCGATAATTTATTTTACAAGATGATTTATGGTTAGTTTTAGGTAAGTTTAGCGCTAGGGTTAAGATTGTCGGCTAGGGGTAGGGAAGAAATGTGCAGAATATGCATTTATATTAAAATTACTGAGTAGGTCTGGTGGTAAACTCTACGATAATATAATATTAACAATTACAGATGATAACCATAATTAGGCACAAAACCAACACTAAAATGTGAAAACTAACTACGTTCTAGTTTTAGTAGTGACATGTTGCACTATGGACCTAACTGCTTCATTTCAATGACCTACCATGCCAACGGTATCTTGGCAGACATCATTAACGTATGCACTCACACATTTTAACGAAGTAACTAAGTAGACAGGGGCCCGCGTTGCGCCAGCCGAAATATCTCGCGTGGGTTTTTTCTGCGTGAGAGAGTAGAACGCGGTGTCTTGCAGGCAGCAGTGGACGTACCTCTACCCCGTACAGCACGCGCACGCGCCAGTCTGCACGTCCGCTGTGCTTTCACACCCGACGGATTGCATAAGAACGTGAGTGGATGGGTTGGTTACTCGTGGAGGCACACGTGGGAGACGTCAGGGCGCTAGCTCCGTAAAAATCCCGCAATCCTCGGGCAATTAAGGCAACGAAACTCCCCTAAATTCTTCACACAGCAAGGTCAAAGATGCGCAGCGAATGGAAGACAGTGGAAGCATTATTTCAGCAACACGTGCGAACGATGCGAATCTGCATATATACAGTGCTTCACATATCACACCCTTTCCGACTCCCTTCAACCCCCTTTCCCATTCCTACTCATTATTTAATTTCTCTTCTTTCCCTTTTATTATCCTAATCATCCCCCATTTCCCACGTGTTATTTCAATCATACACTTTCGCACTTGTTATCCCAGTTATCCACCTCATTATCCTAGGCATCCCTCCTTGCCATTCGTTATCACCGTCACCCCACATTTCCCACTCTATTCCAATCATCCATCTTTCTCACTCATTATCCCAGTCATCCCTTCTGTAGCGTTGAACATTTGACGAGCATATATACTCAGCAACAATCGGTTGGTTAGTGAGTCGTGACAACGACAGCTTATTCTAGACAGATAAAAATGCACGGTACAGTTACAGTGGAAACATGTACCAGTCGATGTGCAGGCCCGGGACGCTCTGCTCATCTATATTTTGAGTGGGTTTATAACATGTCCGGGCGTCATTAGCCTCCTTCCCTGTCCTCGTTCACCGGGCCGGAGGACATTCGCAATTACTTATTATTATACCACGGGAGAACGATAGGACGTGAACGTTCGGCTAGGAATGTTGACACACTGTTCCCAGCATGACTTTCTCTTTTCGTTAGTTTTATTACACTTCTTAGTTCTTACCCATAAATGCAAATCGCTACTATACATTTCCACAGCCGTCTACTTTCACTTTACGTTGCGCCTTTAGTGAAAACGAGGTCACTCTTACCTTGGAGAAATCATTTTTACTGATTACTCAAAGCTCTTACTTTGGTGATGACGCAGTTGCGTTGTCGACCTCCGGCTACTGTAACGTCGCTGCAATGTCACGTGTGCTCGTTCTTAATTACTTTTTATATTGCCATGTTTATTTCTCTCGAAATCTATGTCTCGAATGCCATGATTAAACCCCGTATTACACTTGTTTCCCGTCGTTATGACAGTCATCCCACATTCTTCACACCAATCCTCCCTCCTTCTACTTTGTTATCTCAGTCATCCAACCTTTCCCTCTTGTTATCCCAGTCATCCAACCTTTCCCTCTTGTTATCCCAGTCATCCTGTCTATCCCACAGATCAGCAAAAACCCGACAGAGCAGTGAAAAACGTGCCACGTTTGTGATAGGAAGCCGGCTCACAGCCAGCGTACACCAGCAGACTTAGACACTCGATTCGCATGTTACCGCACCGTTTCACACGCAGCGATTCCCCAACACGACAATCGGCGTAGATGGATTGCGCACAGGCACGGAACTACTACAGCGGGAAAACTCCCCTATGGTGAGGTTATCCAGGCGAAACATGGCCAAACGTACCCCAGTATGTATGACTCGGCACAGGCAGGCATGCAAGCAAGAGAGAAGTGGGGGGGGGGAGGGAAGTGAGGGGAGGGCTTAGTTGGACCCGAGTGCCTGGCTACTGCAATATCAGCAGATATCGAATGACTTGCCGGGAGGAGTGGTCTGCAGGTCAGAAGCAGCAGCCAGTCATGTACCAGCACACATCTGCTCTCGCTCTCTCTATCACACACACACACGCACACGCACACGCACGCACACACACACGCACACACATGCACACACACCACATACACGCACGCACGTACGCACGCCCGTACACACCCCTCTCTCTCACACACATAGATAGTGGTGCAAATAGCAGCCTGTCCGAGTCCGGGACTGGTAACGTGCCAGACCATGTTTTATGAATATCTATAATTTACATATATACCAGAAACCGAAATTTTCAACATCTGTCACAACTGTATGGATTTTCAGACCTTTTTACTGTCTTACACACTTATTTTACTGACTACTACTGTCTCTCTCTCCCTTTCTCACCCTCTCTCTTCTCTTTCTATATCTCTTGTTATCTTGCTCTATATCTCTCCCTTTCTCTCTCACTCTATTTTCTCCCTTTTTAACTCTCTTCCCCGTTTCTCCCCACTCTTCCCCCTCTCTTTCACTCAACCCTAGCTCTACTACACTAGCCTGCCGAGTGTATAGAACAGCTGCTGGTCGTTGATATAACAGCAGTGGTGTGTCTGACCGGTGGGGGAATTGCAAGTGCAGGCTGTCTGACATCTTACTTTACACCGGTAAAGAACCACTCTCAAAATGCTGACCCCCACACGCCTATAGTTACTGGGACAGACTGAGGTCACCATTCCCACTCACCCAGCTACTGGGAGATGCCCTGCCCCGTGTAGCTAGCTAGTGAGACAGACCACCTTCCCCACGCACCCAGCTACTGGGAGATGCCCTGCTCCGTGTAGCTAGCTAGTGGGACAGACCACCTTCCCCACGCACCCAGCTACTGAAAGAGGCCACCTTCACTATGGCGTCTAGCTGCTGGAAGATGCTCCGCCCTTACTGCTATTGAAAATGAAATAGAACTTTTAAGCCCCATTTGCCATGCATGGAATGATATTCTCTCATGGGGCCTATTCTGTAAGAACCTCTCTTGCTATCTGTAGAGAAATATCTCGCTCTTCCCAATCACTACTGAGTAACCCATCTACCGTCGTGCACTGTGTGATTCAGATCTCTTCAGGACAATGCAGAGAAATTGCATCACCTTATTGACTAGAACTTAGAAGACATTTTCTCTTCTGGCATTCCATACACTGACAATAATCCCTCTCAGACCAACAGTGAGATGTGAAACCACTGGCTCCATCCACCTGGAAGAATCTGCTTCCGAAGCTCAAGGACACAATAGGAAAAACAAGTACCGCAGAGCGAGCAGCGCTTCACTGACGTGTACTTGTAGCCAGGTATTTTCTTTCTGATAAACTCACTGGCAACCGAATCAAGTGTGCCCTCTCTGCCACCGCCTTCGCGCTCAGAGCAATATATCTAGGATACTACTAATACACAGGTATCTCCCTACGTTGCGGCAAACGGCGCACGC